CTGCTGCTGCTGCTGCTGCTGCTGCATCTTCTGCTTCCACATTCTTTATGCATGCGCGCGGGAAACGCACCAAGCCGTTGTAATTCACGGAACAAAACACGTGCACTTCCCGCTGCCCGCAGCCCTCAGGCAGCTCCACACGGCAGCCACCTGCAGCAGCAGCAGCAGCAGCAGCAGCAGCACCACGAAAGTTTTGACTTCTTTTGCATTTTGAAATAAATTCTAAATCTGAAGTCTCTAGTTAAGCCTCAAGGTCCAGCTGGAACTGTTGCGTGGGGCTGCGCCGGGACACCCGCGCCTGCGCTTCCTCTGCCTCCAAACCCTAAACCCTAAACCCTAAACCCTAAACCCTCGGCCTCACCTAGGTCTGCAGAAACGCTGTTTGGGTCCAAATCTTTGTAAGCTGCATGCACCTCGAAGGAAGCACTTCGGATAAATGTTATTTTGCGCAAAGTGTTCGTGGGAGTCCCCAAAGGAAGTTCTATTTCGCGGCAGCCAGCAGGGGGGGCCCCCTCCTGGGGGTCCCCCGGGGGGCCCCCCTCCATCTGCTGCGTGCTGCACTGCACGGGGCCCTCTCCAGTCCATCTGAGGGCCACTGGGTGCCACAGCTTTTCTCCAAAGTCAAACTCCTTGACTTTGAAGTGCAGCGACGCCATTGCTGCCTGCAGCAGCAGCAGCAGCAGGCCAGCGGCAGCAAGCAGCAGCAGGCTGCAGCAGCGCAGCAGCAGCTTTTGAGCCACCAACACAACCCCGCTTAGCCCATTTAAACAAAAGAGGAACTCGCACCCTTATGTGCTGCAAGTAGTTGAGTCAAAATAAAATAAAAAGAAGGCTAAAATGACTCAGCAGAAAAAAGCAATATAAGGCATGCACTAGGGCCTTGCCCCGGACACCGAAGGCACTGAGCAGCACCGCAGCAGTAGCAAGCAGCAGCAAGTCGCAGCAGAAAGCGAGAGAGAGCAGCAGCAGCAGCAGAAGCGAACGGAAGGCTCAAGCAGCAGCAGAAGCAGTTGGGATATACGGGGGGCAGCAGCAGCAGGACCAAAGCAGCGGCGGGAGCAAGCGGGACGCAGCGGCAGCAGCAGCAAAAGGAAAGCTGCAGCAGCAGCAGGAAATTAGCAGCAGCAGCAGCAAACGGAAAGCTGCAGCTGCAGCAGCAGCAGCAGCAGCAAAGTACCTGGAGGGCGCAGCCCCTGGCCACGCACTCGTCGCCCGAAAGAGTCCGCGAAATTTCTTTTCCAAAAGCCTCACTGATGCACTTTTGAATCCAAGGGATTCTGGTGCAGCCCCCGACGGCCTCAACGAAGGCGATGTCGGCAGCTTGCAAACCTGAACAGGAGCCGAAACGGGGAAAGCGGAGCCGATCCCGCGGGAATCCTGGATGATTTTTGAAGATTAAGAACTATTTAGCAAATATATTTGGAAAAAAGCGAAGAAAGCGCGCGAAAATGCCCCGAAATCGGAAAAAAGTGCAAGATCGCGGGCGGGTGGCTGCTGCGGGCCGCAGCAACTCACCGCTGATGTTCAGCGCCTGCTGCAGTAGCTTCAGCAGCGAAGGCTTAAATGTGTTCGCGCAAAGCTCTTCAAACAATTCGCGAGTTATTAATCCCGAAAGGTCTCTGTCTTCCATGAGGCATTCAATTGCAAAGGTCGTTTCGCTGTTCGCAGACAGGATCTTCTTCGTCCGCTCCGCCTGGTCCTCCAGCCTGCACAATGACAACAATATTAATAATATTAATAACATTAACAACAACAATATTAATAATAATAATAAGTGCACAAGTTAATTTTATTGGCAGTAGGTGCAGGGTGCAGTTGACAGTTCACGAAGCCGCAAATGACGCGTGGCGCTCTCGCCGCCGACTTGAATTGAAGACAGAAAAAGGAAATGGGAAATAAGAGAAACTGAGCACGAAAATGCAGGAAAATGAACAAACATGCAGGTGAGTGGAGTCGTTTATTCTATTTCGAGCAGTTTGGGAAACAAAGCAGCAAAAAAGACCCAAAAATGCAACTTTTCCGCAACAGCAGCAAATTAAGGAAGGCGGGGAAGGCCGCGAGGCCAGCTGCATGCAGCAGCGACTCAGAAGAAAAAAGAAAACAAGTCAAAAGCCAGCTGCTGCTTCAAAGGCCCCAGAAAGCGCAAAACCACAGCAGCAGGAGCAGCAGGAGCAGGAGCAGCAGGAGCAGCAGCAGCAGCAGGACAGAAACGAGCAAAAGCGCAGCACAAGCGGCTGAAGCGGGGTCGTTTTGAAGGGAATTTTCCGCGTCCGGCGAAGCAGCGAGGCCCCGAGCGCTGGCCCCGGCAGCTTTCGAGAAAGAGAAGAAGAAAGCCGCCAGTTGAGGGGAACTGCACGGACTTGAGCCTCGCCTTGAGGTTCTCGAGGGGGTTGAGCCCGTGCTGCTTCTCGAAGATCTTGGCGAAGTGCTGCGCTATTAACAAGTCCAAGTCGCGGCCCCCCAAGTCTGGGTTCGAGACTTCCGCGAGCACTTCGCCTCCTGCTGCAGTGAAGGCAGCAACGGAAGCAGCAGCAGCAGAGTGGCCCACGGAGACGAACGCCACCACCGTCGGCTTCTCCGTGAAGTGCTGCCGCCGGTAGAGCCCGTAGTCCAGCGCCGCTGCACCGCAGCAGCAGCAGCAGCAGCAGCAGCAGCAGCAGCTGGAAGCCAGCTCCGCCCCCGCGGCCCCGCCCGCAGCAGCAGCAGCTGGAAGCCAGCTCCGCCCCCGCGGCCCCGCCCGCAGCAGCAGCAGCTGGAAGCCAGCTCCGCCCCCGCGGCCACGGCCAGGGTTTAGGGTTCAGGGTTCAGGGTTTAGGGTTTGGGGTTTGGGGCTCGGGCTACTCGCGGTCAAGTCGCTGACGACGCGCAGGCAACTCAGGCCCGCCACCCGCGCCGCGTCCAGCAGCGCCTGCCGGTTCCGCTCGCGGAACCAGCAGGGACAAGACAGCACCACTTCCTTCGCAGTTCTTCCCGTGGCGGCCTCCGCGAGTTGCTGCAGCTTCGTGAGGAAGGCCCCGCACACGCGGCTCGCCGGCAGCACTTCCTCGCCGGCGCCCGTCCGCACCTGCAGCAGCAGCAGCAGCGGCGGCGGCAGCGGCGGCGCCGGGCGGCTGCAGCGGCGGCAGCGGCGGCGCAGCGGCGGCGGCAGCGGCAGCGGCAGCGGCAGCGCAGCGGCGGCGGCAGCGGCAGCGGCAGCGGCAGCGCAGCGGCAGCGGCAGCGGCAGCGCAGCAGCAGCGGCAGCGGCAGCGGCAGCGCAGCAGCAGCGGCAGCGGCAGCGGCAGCGCAGCAGCAGCGGCAGCGGCAGCGGCAGCGCAGCAGCAGCAGCAGCAGCAGGTTGGGACCTTGAATCCGGCGACGCCTCCCGGAGCTTCCGCGACCTCCGCCAGCTGGAACTTCTGCTCCCGCGGCACTCGCGAAGACTCGCTGAAGACTTCGCCCAGCAGGTTTTTGAAGGAGCGGCAGCAGGCTTTTGCTTGGCTGCGCACCTGCAGCAGCAGCAGCAGCAGCAGGGGGCTCGCCCGTGAGCCCCCAGCAGCAGCAAGCAACCTCCAACACTTTGGGCCCCGCAGGGCACAACCAGCGCAGCAGCAGCAGACACGCGCAGCTCGCACTGCAGCAGCAGCAAGAGCCGCTGCCGCTGCTGCTAGCCAGCGCACTGCTGCGAACGCTGCAGGCCAAGCACTCGCCCCACCGGCAACTGCTGCTGCGGCTGCTGCAGCGCGCGGCCGGCCCTGCCGCAGCAGCAACGGGACGTGCAGCAGCAGCAGCAGCAGCAACGGCAGCTGCAGCGCGTGTCTGGCAGCAGCAAAGACCCACCAAGGGGGCGGCATGGTCGCCCATAAGTCTGTGGCCTTGGGAGAAAAGAACTAAAGAAGGAGTGAGGCGGTCCGCGAGCTCCGTGCGGACGACTGAGACAACTCCGCGGTGAATGGTGGCGAGCACGGAGTTTTGAGTGCCAATATCGATGCCCAGGACTGCCATGGTGGAAGCTGCGCAAATTTGATGCAAAGAAATGAAAAAATTAAAAGATTTGACCCGGAAATCCGCGCGAAAAGCGAGCGGGAGCCCCGAAATGCCGAGGTGTACAGACAGCGTGTCGGTTCGCACACGGGAGGCCGCCGAGCCGCCCTCAGATTCAAACGCGAGCTCTAAACCCTAAACCCTAAACCCTAAACCCTAAACCCTTGAATTCGGTAGCAACGGATCCGCTCACACCTCCCGCAGCCAATGGGGTGCTGCTGCGCCTCCGTGGGGGCTTGCTGCCGCTGCTGCTGCTGTTGGTGCTGCCGCTGCACACTTCACACAGAAACGACTCTTTCCGCGCATGCAGTTCTTTCTTTGCAATTTCCCTTTTCCATTTTTTTGCCAAATGCAGCAGAAGCCGCAGTTCAACTCCAGACAAAGCCCGCTGCAGCCGCACTCCGCTCACTCTCTACCCTCCCCCACACCCGCCCTCGCCCGGCCCTCCGTTCGCCCCAATTCGCTCTACTTTTTTGCTTTTTTACTCCAAAAATACCTTTTATTTCGTAAAAATTAAACAGTTTGTCCAGAGATACGTCACAGCCGTCGGATTCCCCGTAGACATGCGCCCCGCCGCCACTTAGCGTTGCAGTCTGTATGTACAGCGCGGGTTTAGCCGGTCTGCGGGGGCTGAATTTGCATTCATTTAATTGTCTCACAATTAAATTGTTTTATTTCATAATATAATTCTTTTCTAGCTTCTTTCGAAGGCCGTTTTGCACTGTTTTCTCGCCAGTGTGGGGCTCCTCAAGTTGCTGCGCGTCTGTGCAAGTTTGAATCTTCCAGCAAGTCTTTTAACTCTTTTTCTCCACTTAAATACCAAACAATCAGCAAAATATTATAAAGTTTTATTCAAGTTAGACAGCCGGGAGAAGCACTTTTCCTAATTGTAGTTTTAAAAACTCCCGAGATCACAAAGTACTTTTCATCTTTTCCCAACTGTTCATCTTTTTCTTAGAAGTTACTGTGTTGAGAAAACTCCGGAAAACAGAACGGACTTCATTTGGATTATTAAATATATCTTTTAGCTTCTACATACATCTTCATTTATATATATATAGCGTATGTGTATAAGTTATAAATGTATTATGTATTTATATATATATATATATTTATGTATATATTTATATATACAAATATACATATATGTATAAATGTTTGTATATCCATATATAAATCTATCTTAGCTTTTTAAAAGGCCTTAGGAAGACGTTGGGGGCTTGGGGCTTCCCTGTTCGTTTTTTTTAAAGAAAGAATCTGTAGAATTTCGAAAATTCAGGAAGTCCAAAATTGGTGCTGAGAGATTTTTATAAAACGCCCTTTTGCCATTAAAGAAATTCGAGAAGACCACTGGAGTGGGCCACTGGTCATTCCCAAGAAGCAAAGGTGCAGCAGCAGAGCAGCAGAGAGTGCAAAAGTTTCTTTTTAAATGAATTTAAAATTATTTGTTTTGAGTTTCCACTTAGTGTTCAGGTGTCTCGACACCAGCGGGCCTTCACAAGGCCTCAGAAGAGAACTTAATTTGCTTTTTCAGATCTGTAAATGTGAGAAGAAAGGAACTTAATTTGCTCTTTCTAGATCTGTGAATGTAAAGAGTTGAAGTATCTTTTGGCGGCAGCAATTTCTAATTTAAAGAAGCAGCAAAATTGCGGCGGCAGCAGTTTTGGCCGCAGGGCCTCTCAGCTGCTGCTGCGTCTGCTGCTCTTTGCGTTTGCTGCTGCTGCGTCTGCTGCTCTTTGCTTTTGTTGCAGCTGCGTCTGCTGCTGCTGCCTTTCCTGCTTCTGTTGCACCTGCTGCTGCCGTAGTGGTGATTTGCTGCTGCTGTCCTTGTTGCTGCTGCTGTTCCTGTGTAAGTACATATTGAATGCTTTTGAATATAAACTTAAGAGGTAGAAAGAGTTGAATATAATTATTAAATGGAATAAGCAGCAGGAAAAGAAACTGTTGCTGCAGCAGCAGCAGCTTTCTTCAGTGGCCGCAGCTGGGAGAAATGCAGCAACAGCAACACGCACATAGAAATCTCCCCGATTGCTTTCTTTTTGCAAGAGAGAAGGAGCTGCTCCCAAATATTTGCAATTTTGAAAAATAAATATTATAGTTTAATAAATAATTGTTTATATTTAATAAGTAATGAGTGAAAGCACTCGGGCCTTTCGCCCAGAACACTTTTTGAAGAATTTGGTCAACGCCTTTTAACAACAGCAGCTTCACCAGCAGCACCGAGATGTTTTAAAAAACTAAATTTGCATTTAATAATGATAACAACTTTGAAAATAACACCAATTTGCTTTAAAGAGAATATTATATATATATAGTGCCCACGGGCTGTTAGCAATATCTGGAGAAGTGGCTGCAGGCCTGGAAAGCTGAACAAACACAACTGGAAATAATTTGAACAAAGACTCTTTTGTGGAAGCTAAGACATTAAAAGTAAAGTTAAGGAGTTTAATAGAGCCTCCAAGTCACTTTTTGCAAACAATTTTTTCCGTTTTTCGCTTTTTCTGAGGACAATGGACCATTCAAAATGAACAAACAGTTGCAAAAGTCATTCCACGGAAAACGCGGATCTCAGTTATTGTTCTTGAGAAAAAAGCTTGAATTAAAAACTCCAATTGATGCAGCGTCCGTTTTCGTTTGATGGAACAGTAGCCTGTATCATATTGAATCAGAAGTAGCATCAAGTGCTGCTTTTCGCTGAATCTCTATATATGCCTTTATCCTAAATATATCAAAAATAAACTCAATTTAATTTTTCAAAGAAAAGTATTTTATTACATGCCAACGCTCTCTCAAGCTTGCACTCACTGCAGCGGTTTCCCAATTCTGCAAGGAAAGCAGCTGCTGCAGTTGCTTTCCTTGCAGAGGAAATAAAGTGGAGCATTTTGCTGCTGCCTGCAGTGAGATGTGGCACAAAGAAATATAAGGAAGAGATGAGGAATATCTCTGTAACAAGTTTTTCAAGTTTGAAGACTTCAAGTTTCCTTGGAAGAAGTGGCTGGAAGAGAACAGTTGGCTTTTGTCTAGGCATCTAGAGCAGAATAAAGATAATTCAAAACATATTAAAAAGCTGTTATGAAACTTTAATTTGGTATTCTGATTGTCTCGAGGGAAAAAGAAAGCTTTTCCGTGGCCCTTTGTGGTATATTTGAACAAGTATTTCCAGGTCTCGGGTCACTTAACACTTCCAGTACAGGAACCCCCACTCTTTTCTTTATTAATCTCGGTTTCAATTATCTTCCGTAGATATATTTCGAATGTCGTGCAGAACTGCTGCTGCTTAAATGGAAACAAAACGCACAACATATGTGTAAATGAAAACAAGAAGCAGAATGCAACAGAGTCACGAGTTCTTGAAAAAGCTCATGTAACACTGCTCGGGCCGCATACCTCACACCGAGTTTCCAGCCACGAAAAGAGGCACTGAAGCAAATCTTTGGGGCTAATCTGCAGCGAGAATACCTAGTTTTTAATCCAGTAAAGCTGATTTATACATCAAAAAATTCAGACTATTATTTTAGAGGTTACAAGGGCAAATTTCGCTCTAAATTGCCGTGTCTAGCACTCCACTACACGCCAATAAAGTTTAGATAAATGCTAGAAGCGAATTTCGCGAAACTTCCTATTTTATTTTTTCTGAATCGATGCATGCGCCTAGAACGTTGTTCTTGAGTGATTACAAGTCACCATTAAGGGAACTTTGTGAGGGTGGAATCGAAATTGATTAAAATTCATTATAAAATAATACTAAAATCTTGAATGCTGAATGCATGAAGTGCATTTTTGATAAATGGGTGCAGTAGAATTGTCCACACATGCACACCAGCTGGGTAACTCGCTGCGGCGCCAACCATGTCGCTTCTTTAGAGCTTCAAACATTTTTAAACGAATAAACTTGTGCAGTGTTTAATTTAAAAAGAGAATTGGACTCAACGCTGGGGAAAAGAACTTTAAAATTCGAGAAAAAAGCCCCAAAGCCCCAATTTGTTCTTCTCAGCGGCCGCCACCGATAAGAAGAGTGACAGTGGCAGGCGCTGTGCGTTGGGAACTTGTGCAAAATTTCGTTGCCAGATCTCTTTTGGCGAGGAATTAAAGATCTTTGCCTTTTCGTTTCCGCGGGGAGATAAAGAAAATGGCGAAGAGGACGAAGAAGGTGCGGCTGAGAGCCTCTTTTTCTTCCACGGCTCCCCTCACCGCAGCTTCAGGAGCTTGGAATGGAAACCGCGAGGAGAAAACGCCTTTTTCTCTTTATTTTTGTTTATTTAAATAAAAATAATGATTATTTCCTGTCCATTCGCCTCTTCACGAACCGTTTCGGGGCGGCGGGCACTGGCGTGTATGCATTGCACTGTGTTGTGCAAGAAGCTCTTTCATGCACACAAAACTACACGAAGTTGGAGCGTTTTTTTCATTTAATTTTTGAATTAGTTTTATTTTTTTTGTTTAGGTAGAAGTTCATTTCGCATTTGTGTCTGCAGAGCTGGGAGTTCTGTCTTTTCTGCATCCCGCTGTGCTGTGGGGCAATGCAATTCAACTTTGCATCTGAATTTGAATAAAGCCTGGAAGTCTGTTGCGCGCAATTTGGGGTTTTGAGGATTTAAAGGAATGCAGTTGGGGCTTCTTTGACTCTATCTGTTGCATGCTGCTGCATGCGTTCTTATTCTGATTTCATTCATGAACTTTCTGATTTAAGGAATTCCTTTTTCATTTCCTTTTTTGCATTCGCTCTCTCCAAGAGCAGGCAAAAGCTTCGCCACTTTTGGCAGTTCCAACGGGGAGCAAAAACAACTAGAACTGGCGGAGACTTTGAGAGAATTCGGGGATTTTTTTATTTCGAGTTTTCTCTGTTTTTGCCTGACAGCTGAGTTGCAGTGTATGTACACTCCGTCTCGCGTGCACATCGAATGCCGCATTTATATGTATCTCATCTTGCAACTTGTTTTGCGTTTTGGGGAGAAGATAAT